TAAAAGTTTTTTAATCGTGCAGGTTCGAGGCATGCAATGCATGATAGGGGAAGGGGGAGGGTGTATGTATATTTAATTCAATTTCTAAATTTAAGCATCCATTTTAGTGTTATTAGGAAAGAAAAGAATTGCTTCCAAAATAAAGTAATAAACTGGAGATTCAAAATATTTTATACATACAGTACGTATACCCTAAAATGATACTGGATTCCATCTCGCCCACTCTCTCTAATTGGGGGGGGGGGGGGGCTGTCTACAAATCCGCGCAGTTTCTCTCAACTATCGCAGTTCTACTATGGTCAGTTTCTCACCTGTGGGCGCGGTTCACGTGCACAAGCGGCACTTACATGTACATGTCTATCATCGTGTAAATTATAAGAATTTACACATCTTAAGTGATATTCTGACGTTTTCATAACTTTCATCATTAAAGTAAAGAGATTCTTTTTTTTTCACTGTCTTGGGACCTTTGTGCAAGTGGATTATTGTGAGAATTCCGACCCGTACCTGTCTTATGCAAGGTATTGATCGAGGGAGTCTTGCATCAGGCATTCAGAGGAATACAAATCCTTGAACTTGCAACGGCGATTGAGGGTATATATCAAGTGTTAAATGTGCTCTGCATATAAACTTCTCATCTTCTATAAGAAGCACTGAAATATTTTCATAGTATCATATTTCCCACTTAGAACAATCTCTTCTTTAATTTTTCGTCGAGAACGACGAAGAACAATGCAGTCTATCAATAGATCGAGGTCGCGTCTTTGTTTAGAGGCGTTTGTGAAGAATCACACCCTTTGGTTGGAGCAAATAGCACGAGTTTCTTTAGAACAAGTCGTGTACATCTTTTTCCCAGAATTCCAAATTATGCAAGCGTACTTGCAGTTTTATCCCACCGTAACTAGTCAGCCCGTGGGCTGACTAATAAAAAAAAAACACTGGCAGATTTAGAGGAGGTTCAGGGGGCCTGCAAGCCCCCTTTTTGTATCCAAAATATACACAAGATTTAATAAATCAATTTTTATGTGGCTTTGGGCCCCTACCCCGACCCAAAACTGATCGGGCCCCCTTTTCTAGATTCCTTTATCCGCCACTGAAAAAAAGAATGTGTTGTTCTCTTGGATGTCGATATCTGAATTATATTTTAATTAAACATCCTGTCTAATATATCATGGGCGCCCATAATAGGACGATTATTTGTTTTTTAAAATAAAGTGGTTCTTACAAATGTTAAAAAAAAACTTACAAACGGCTAAGTAATTATTTAATTCATCTAGAACAAAAGTTAGTTTTGTTATTTGCTTACATAATCTAACTTTTATAAATTAACACGAAAGTCGTGCGATCGTATACAAATACTCAGAAGCAATCTTCATATTTAATGAACGTATAGGTGAATAAATTGCCTCTCATCGCTATACGTATACCCCCATCCCCGAAATAAATAGAATGTTTTCCTTCGCAGCCGGTTATGCAAGTACAAGTGAGGATGGAGCTTTACAGAAGCAGGTGATGTATTCCGAGAGAAAGGCACTGCCTATTTTATATACATGTACATTCCTAGGGACCTGGTTTTCTGAACCGATGTCACTGTTATTCAAAGACCTAGCTAGAAATTCTCTCTCTCTTTGAAATGCAGGCCCGTCGATCGTAAAAAAATGACAAAATAATTTCAATTTTTATTATTTACATTTGCAAATATTTTTCTTAGGTGAACCTATTGAAGAGAAAATATGTTCAATTCTGTACAAACTTATTAGGGGGTCAGAGGTCATGGCGTGACCGTATCACACAGCGAGATGATATCTTGTCTACATATTTCTGTCCCGGTGACACTGGTTTCGGAACTTCTAAGCCGTTAAAGCGATGAAAAAGATAAAATTATTGAAACATATATGTTTTTTTTCGTTCAACAAATGATCATTAGTTCTTTCTTCGGTGTGAAGAATGTTTTTAATTAGCCTAAAATCACGCTTACCTTTTTAACCCGAAATTCCTTTGAAGGTATGTAAACTGAAGACGATATCACCGCTTTTGACTTCATATAAAGAACTCATACAATAATAGTAAGATCATTCTCAGTAGCGATCATTGTTTTGTTGTTGTTTTTTTTTTTTATTATAAATAGATATTTCCTGAACTGGACTGCTGAACAGCAATATTTAAGTATTCAAATGTTGGAGCGAGGAGAACTCTCAAGACCAAACAGCTTCTAGGTCACTTCGCGTCACAACATAGCATGAATACGGCGGGCCGTTCGTTTAATAAATGCAGTTCTTTTCAGAAAATTCGTCTCAAATGTAAATAAAAGTAATAAACAACAATGTTAAAAAGTTTTCTGGGAAATGAACTTGTTTGGTACTTGATCAAATCTGAGAAGCCCTTAGGGCTTCACAGGATTTGATCACGTGACCAACCAAGTTCATTTCCCAGAGAACTTTTTAACATTGTTGTTTATTTCTTAAATAAGTATCTCATCTCCCAAGCCCAGAGGCCCAAAGTAAGCTTTTCTGTTCATAATTCTTCAGCTTTGTTTGCTTTCTTGGCGTATATAAGCGTTATCGTCGTTGTCGTTTTAAAGTTACTTGTAAAATTTTCTCATTTTATCTTATCAAGAATCACTGAGCCATAACAACGAAAATTAACATAGAATATTTTTGGTAAAGTTTTGTTCAAATGAAGGGTCACATCCTCTTTTAACGGATACATGTAGTAAAAATTAGATGGGGTCCAGGCGCGGATCAAGGATTTTTTTCGTGTGTGTGTTTATGTGCGTGTGTGTGGGGGGGGGGGGGGGTCGTTGACTTTTAAAGCTTCATACCTAAGACTTTTCATACCATTTTAACACAGATCCGCGTTATCGAGGAAGGGTCTGCGTTTTCTAGGGGGGGGTTTACTTTTACTTGCTTTAGTATATACATTTAACTGCCCCCAACCCCCTCTAGATCCGCGCATGGGGTCATTTGAAAATAGTATTCTCAAGAACCCATGGACTAGAATGAGAAAATTTCCAACACAGCATACATTCATTTTATTTTTCAAATCTTGATTCCAGGGAGAAGGTGTGGGCCGGAAAGAGTGTTCATAATTTAACATAGGAATTTATATATCCCCCCAAACGAAGTGTGTTGGTTTGGGGTGGGGGTGTTTTGAGTCTTTGAATCACACTGTCCGTCTGCCTAGCTGTCCGGCTGTACGTGATAGTTTGCCCAGGATATAACTTTGTTATGAAGAAACTGGAAGGTCATACTTGGTACAAAGATTACTAATGATCCGAGGGTGTGTCATGGTTTTGATCCAACATCATTCCGGCAAGTTCAAGGTCACTTAAAAAAAATAGCAAAGTTTTGTCCGACTCATTTATCTCTAATAGGGAGTCACCGGAAGCTCACTGGATACAGGAATTGCTTATGACAAAAAGAGTTTGCCACGACCTTCATTCAAGGTCATTCCTGTAAGTTCAAGGTCACTGACAGAAAAGTGTAAGATTACTGTATGTGCTATAATTTTGGAAGCTCATACTAGGAACAAAGATTGCTTATGATCCACCGGTTTGAGATAACATAGTACTAGATTGGCAGAAGAAGTGGCAAAACTCGTGCCTGGATTATAAATTTATAAGGGGTGGGAGGAACACAGGAAACTTTTTCTCAGATTGCTTGAGATGGGTTTGTCCTGACCTTGAATAGAGGTTTTTCCCGCAAGTTCAAGGTTACTGGCAGATAAATATTAATTTTTTTTTCCATGCTATAACTTTGTAATATAAAATCACTGGAAGCTATTACTTGATACAGAGATTGCTTATGATCCAAGGATGTGTTTTGACCTTGATCCAAGGTCTTTCTGGTAAGTTCAAGGTCACTGACAGAAAAGTGCAATATTCTTTTTCAGGAATATCTTGGTCATTGAGTATCACTGGAAGCTCATAATTAGTTCAAAGGTTGTTTTTGACCTTAAAATAGGTCATTTAGGCAAGTTCAAGGTCACTGATATAATAAGTGTAAAATTCAAAAAGGTCTAGTCGCCCACGTGGCGCAGTGGTAAGAGTGTCTCCTATAGAGTCATGGATTAAGGAGTTGATCCTTATGTCGCAGGTTCGAATCCCACTATGGGACGCAGAGACCGATCCTTCAGATGAGACCGTATAAACTGAAGTCCCGTCTGGCAGTAGGTGCTGGCACAAAAAAGATCCTTCACTGTTCAATGGCCATGAGTGCCGAGTATAGGTCAAAATTTGCAGATCTCCATCGGCAAATATGGTGGCGTCTCCACATGATTGAAAAATTCTCGAGAGGGACGTTAAACAACATACACACAAACAAACAAACAAAAAGGTCTTTAATTTTGTAATAGAAAAAATTGCATGCATTTGCATTTCACTGAAAAGACGATAAATATATCATCCAAAGTGTGTAATGGCCTTGACTTAAATTCGAGGTCACTTAGAATATGATGTTTTGGATGAATAGTCTGAAAGAATACGTGACTGTGAATTTTTTTTTTGTCGATGACATACAGATGGTGTTTGCTCTTAACCAGCTGCAGAATGTGTCCTGGCTTGACGCACGATTATTTGCACAAGTTCAAGTTCACTGACAGGGGAATTTTACATTCTTTTACTGTCTTTCTTCTGTTAAACATTGGAAGTTGATGCCCCTTACAGGATTGTTTATAACCTTAAAATGTTGCATGACCTTGACTCAAGGTCGCTATGTTCTGTCCGGAGCTCCGACGGAAGACCTATTCGTTGCATTGCAACGAGCTCGGCTCTAGTTTCCAAATATTTTTTTATAGAAATTTTGTGAAAGATGAAGATAATGAATATTCCCCCCTATTTGGCGATTTCACAACAGAGTGGATCGGTGATGAGGAATTTGCGGTTGCCTCGTTTAATGAAGGGTAATTAATGACATATTCAATGCCTCATAAATGAAAGTTGATTTCAAGAATAAAAAGATGGGACCTACACTTGATATATTAATTAATGTTGTAAAGATTTTATGGGTAAAGAGGGCACAAACACAAACAGAAAAAGAAAGCTAGAAGTCGACTTTTCCTGTGAAGGACTAAGGTATAATGATGGATGTATATTGTATAATTTATATACACTGTTTTCAAATACATGTATTAATAAACTGATTAAAGTATTAATTTTGACAAGGTATACAATTTTTTTAAAAGCAATGATTTCCGAATAAATCACACTGTAAATATTATCGTTTTTTTACTGACTTAGAATTATAATTATGATGAAATAAATAATTTTAAGTTTTAGTGTCTCTATAAAACAACTGCTTATTTATTGTAAATTTTATACATTGGCATATGCTGTGTTACTTATTTTACCCTGTTGTTTTTTCAGTCAGACAAAGAAGCCGAGATTGAGCGAGGAGAATTTAATCCTCTCAACATTCAGGTATATAGATATATGTGTGTGTGAAAGTGGGTTAAGGGTGTGAGAGGGAGGGTGAGGGTGTGTGTGTGTGTTATTGACCACAATTACTTCATTTTTTTTAATTTTTAAAAATATACTTCATTTGTTATTTTTTTCATTAAATTTATTTTTGTAGAGAGAATTTCCCGGGAAAAATTCCAAAAATTCGAGATGAAAATGAAAACCTCTTCTGAATCATCTTTTTCGAAACCCTCTGATGAGACTCCAAACTCCAAACCCTCTGATGAGACTCCAAACTCCAAACCAACAGAGGAAATCTCAAATAACTCGACCATCTCAACCTCCAAACCCACAGATGAGGATTCAGCAAATCAGGAGATTGATTACTCCCCCCAGTCTCCTGAATTATTTCTTCCAGCTCCAACAACGCATGAATATTTATTGCAGCCGGAGCTCTTAGCACTGTCTGAGTTGGTCAACTCCATGAGAGTCGACCTTTTACAAACATCCACGTTAATTAATTATATACAAGATTATCTAAGCAGATTGGATTTTAGAAAATAATATTGTTATAACTATTGTAAAATTTATGCGATGGATTATATATCATGTATTTAATGTATTTATTACATTCATAAGCAGATAATGATATTTTACAAATTAAGTATTAAAATAATGTATATCTTAAACAAAAGCACAATTACCAACAATGCACAAAACCCTTTGTTGTTGTGTATGGTGCATTGTCTGTCACAATATTATGTTAATCGGAGTTATCTTCCTTTGTTTATAGCACATCCAAAAATAATGAAGTTTGCTTCTAAGTATTGCATGAATAAAAGAAACTTTTCATGGAAAACAAACTGTTGACTTTTACTTATTTTTACCATTTTATTTTCATCATTTGTTTTATCTGAAGATTTCCTTAAGGATACACCAAGGGTTTCCAAATGCTAGAATTTAATTGGCATGTAATTCTTTCATTATCAAAGATAACATAATAAAAGTATATATCATTTGAAAGCTTGTTAAATTTACTATTTAATTATCCTAATTTAAACTTTAATTAATAAGTTATTTAAAAATTATTTAAATATTAATGAAAATTTTAGTGCATAAATATTTTACAAATCAACTTTTTTGTATTCAACCCCTCAAAGTGGTCATTTTGCCTCAAGGTAGATTAAAGATTGAACTTAAAAACTGTATTTCAGATTTTTGATAAATCTTCTACTTCAAAAGTAACAGCCATTTGCTCTGCAATATTACCAATTTGTTAGCCTAATTTAACATTTCCCTCAGTAATTCCAAAACTAAGCTAGATATCAAAAATCTGAGATACGGTTTTGTGAACACACATTTGAGAAGCAGCCCATCCAATTTTCAGAGAAAATGGTCAATAAATGAGGGAGCTAAATCCTTTGAAATAATACCACAAACTGTCTGATCTTACTTTACAGTAGAGGGCAAAAACCCATTACACAACAAAATCTGCCAAATCTAGGAATATATAACACCTTGGAGATTCAGCTTTGGATACCTGTCACTTAGCCGTATTTCCTATGCATATTCACAGGAATGGGAGGTTCTTTTCTGTATTTAGATGCTTTTAATTAAGTAGAATAGGTTCAATTCTGAATTAGAAAGATTTCCCGGCAAAATGGCAAGAGCTAAGCTCCACCTCCTACGTTATGGTCATCAGTGATCTGTTTGATCTCCTTCTCTAAATCTAGAGTCCCTGTAGTTTAATTACTGATAATCTCTGTGTGGCTAATGAAGAATTCCCCAAGTGGTCACAGTGATTTATTGCGTCTTTCATGAGCAGGCAGTCAGAGATCAAATCAGAAGCTTCAATAACGGAACATTCAAATGTGGTAGTGTTTATGTTTCATTATTGTTAAATAATTAGAAAACCATTTCATAATTACCAAGAATTTTACATGCCTTATAAAGCAGTGATTAACTTCTTTTTCTTAGCCAAAAATCTCAAAGTTGTTGAAAATCTTGAAAAAAGCCTTTGATGTATCCTTAAAAGCAAATTTCACAACTCAAATAACAGTAACGCCATCTTTTACTTTCATACATGAAATATTTAAAAAAATGTCTGATCGTGGTATTTAAATGGTACGACTTACATGATCGTAAAAAACATTGCTGGGTAAATGGTCTGATTGTGTGATGACTGATGTAAATGCCGGTGTTAACATCCCATTTTTATAGGATGTTCATTGGGTGTAACTTTACACACCCATTTTATTGATAGGGCACCCTTCTGATATCTGTTATTTGGGCGTAACATTACACACCTATTTTGGGGTGTATCTATTGGTATATTTTATAAATGTCACTGACTGTAGACTCACTGTTGACTGTGACCTTTATTATTACCCTATGACGTCAGTGACTGTAGACTCACCCTTTGACTGTGACCCACATTATGACCTGTGGGTGGAGTCTGGAAAACCCCATGACGTCATCATGACTGCAAAGTGACTGTACACTGTACTACTTACTACTGTCCTACTGAATAATTATGGCCAATAATAACCCTCGACTTTTTCTTTTTCCTTGATGGTGGCAGTGATTTTGCAAATCAACCCTTATGATCGCGTTCTTGCATGGAGGCCGCCATTTTTTATTTACTATTATCATACTGGACATTAGACGGGGGTTTCCCGAAATCCGAAGTTACACGAGGTTACACGAAAATTGTCGATGTCATGAAGGATGCAATGCCTTAAGAATTGAAATCTAGTCACGATACCAAGAAAGAAACAGGTTATCAATGAAATAGATTGCGAGTATATAAAGGTTCTGCTTGCCTTTATTTGCTCTATCTCCATTTCCATCCAATGAATTTCACTATAACTTAACCTGTCTTCTTTTAAGGTTATGTTCGCTTGTTTCATAATAATTTAAGTCTTATTATCAGATGTTTCTTTATTTTATTGTATTAACTTAATTATGTGTTCTTATGTGAAATATGTTGTTTAATCATGACAGTTTTATTTCAGATTATTTTGTAATTCTCTCTTTCCATTTCCATCCAATAAATTTCACTGTTACTTAACCGTCTTCTTTTAAGTGGCGTATAATAGAGTCACGAAGACTTCTGTTGGAGAACATCCTCACTACTGTACAACCAAATAACCAAGCATAACTTAAACTAGATACTACCCCAAAGAAGCAACTACTACACAACCCGACAACATATACAAAAACTGGTGGAGAATCCGACTGTTCCCGTGTTCACCTTCACCAACTTCAAGTGCCTTTAAAATGGATCTGAGAAATGGTAAGAGTACCAATTTCATGGGGTTATACCCAACAACGTCTATTGTCACCCAACCCACCCATAACAACAACTCCAACAGCCCCTCCGTCTATCAGACTGCAGGGTCTGATGAGAGCGAGAGACATTTTATCCAGTTTAAATAACTCGAATAATTCTAATCCATTAACAACGACACCATTGGTACCAGCGAGACCTCCCCAACTACGACGGGGGGACATCTTTCTTCAACTTTGTCAAATATTCCGGCCGCAACGATTACTACTAACATCTCCACCTCCTCTCTGCCACCAACGCCAAAACATGCGGTCCCAAATGTTATTAAGCTCACGCCATATAATTCTAAAGAACCTGCCACACAGTGGTGGGCACTCTTCATGCAATTAGTAGCTTACTTTGATCTCACGGAATCTGCTGCTCTTGCAGCATTTCCTTTTTATCTTGACACAATACCAAAACAGTAGTATTTTCAATTGTCCGGCAGAATCAAATCTTCATTATCTAATTTAAAAGAGGCATTTTTGGAACGATTTCAAATCACTAAAACAAATTTTGACATGGAATTATTTAATTATTAAACAATTTTCTGAAGAAAAAGTACAGAATTATGGCGAAAGTAACGCGATTAACTACTGAAATTGATTTTCCTACTCATTTGCTTATTGGCATCACAATGCAAGGCCTTAACCCATCAATCCGAAAAATCGTCATGTCCCAAAGTCCCAAAACATTAGAAAAACTTCGGAAAATGGCGTTAGTGGCAAAACAAACGATACAATGTACTGAATCAACATTTGAATCTTTAGCTCTCTCTATTCAGCAACTAGAGGACAGACTTATCTCCGCTTTATCCGATAAACTGGAAGCAACAACAGCCGCTATATCTAACTCTAATTCGCGAAATCCTTCTTCTGGTCGCGCGTTTTCGATTCCCAACTCGCGTCAAACTTTTCAATTTAGACCGCAATATCCAAATTTTAATAAAAGTCCAAAATGTTCAGGATGCGGGGGCAACTGTACAAATCGGCGAAATTGCCAAGCTTTTGGTAAAATGTGTTGAAGTGTAAAAAACTCAATCATTTTTCTACCATGTGTAGATGTGTTGAAGTGTAAAAAAACTCAAATCATTTTTCTCCCATGTGTAGATCCTCCATGAGAAATAACAGCCATAAGGGATGCGCGCCTGTCCCTGGTTCTACAAGGATGGGCACAAAGATAAGAGATCGGTTATCTTGGGTGTAACAATGCCTTTACAATCCCACAATTCTATCATTGTTAGGATAGGGTTAAGAGAAACAAAAACATTAGTGGACACTGGATCACAAATAACACTAATGAGTGAATCCTTTTTCTTAAAGACAGAATTTTCAAAGCAAAGACTCTCAAATCCAGACTTTGATGTTATAAAAGGGGTCAGTAACAATACTCTTCCAATCCTAGGCAAAATTTCAATCCCAATTGACATTGATAACAAAAACTTTCGGCATCCAGTTCACAGTCAAGGGGTTAAATCAATCGGTTATTTTTGAAATTGATTTTCTGGAAAAACACAAACTTTGCATTTGGGATCCAAAACAATTCAATTAGCAGGCGCGGAAAGTTCATTACCCTTTGAAACCAAACTTCATTATGCCAGATCTGCGCAAAAAGTTGTTGTCCCTCCAAAACATGAAATTATCATGCCAGTCAAGATTTCCAGTTTAAAGAGGCAACAGACCGTGTATTTAGAGCCGACGGATAATCTATTAGATAAAAGTTTAATAGCAGCCAAAACGGTTAAACAAGTTCAAAATCAAAAAGGTTCTTTCAAAATCTGCAACCCAACTGATGATGAAATTTATCTAAATAACAATGCCATCGTTGCTACCGTCGAAACTATTGATCCAACAGAAATAAAATTGTTTCATTCTCCATTATCAGCAAAGGTTAATGTCGCAAAACAAGCCACACAAAACAAAGTCGAACAAGATCCCATAACATTTGATTTCTCAAATTCAGATCTTAATCAGGAACAAGAACAATAATTGGAAGGTTTTTAGCTAATTTTGGAGACGTTTTGCAGCAAACTTATCAGAATTGGGGAAAACAATAGGTAGGTTCTCTCATAAAATCGAAACCTATGAAGATTCCTCTCCAGTGAGAATGCCCTTTTACAGACAGCCACCCCATATGCAAAAGGAAATTGATAAACAAGTACAAGATCTACTGTATAATGATATAATTGAGGAATCTAATAGTGAATAACACTCTCCGGTTGTCCTTGTTAAAAAGA